TTTAACACTTATAAGAGGGAATCACAAGTTAAATACTCTGATTTCTTTAACTTGGAACTTTGAACTCTCCAGAGTTAATCTTTATTCAAAGCGAAATGCGTTCGCTTATATACTTATTTTTACATATCGAGATATCTAATATAACGCTGATATCTGATATATCGAATATCTTTGTGATTTCCGTGATTTCTATTATCTCTATTATCTTGGTTATCCTCGCTATCCAAGAAATAACTGTTATATCGCTTATAACTGAGATATCGAAGATCTCTAGAATCACGGAGATCACAAGGATTTTCGTGATTCCAAGAATATGCCCAACGATTTTATTACCTATACAAATTCAAACATCTCCAGGTAAGCCTTTGCTTTTTCACATAATTTATGCTTATTAGATTTATACCTGAACCAGTACTAATTGATGCTCTCATTGCTTGTCCATTTATTTTTACCAACTTTTCCATCACTGTACTATTATCAACTTTTTGCTTCATCTCACCTTTCCCATTATATTTCAAACCTCCATGGTCCTTACTGCTAAATTCTATGAAACGTACTTCCATACCATCATTATTCAGATATCGATCTCAAACCTGATCTTTCTTGAATGAACACGAATGAACCAAGTGTCCTTTACGATGATACACATAACAAAGATGTGATCTACATCTTGCCATTTCCCTTGAACTGTTCTCAGGTTCTGTACAACCTCCTTAACAACCATTTCCACAATGTTTTTCACCAACGGTTCCATTCTTTTCAAACTCAAATTATACAGGTACCAGACTCCAATGTTCGATTATAGCCTTTTTGTCCACTAAGGTTTCTGGTTCGATGTTCGCTCACACAGAGAGTTTCAACCTTGATGTCAACCACACAGGTTTCCGTTCGTTCAATCACTCAGTCTGCAGTTTAATCACACAGAATTTCAACTTCTACATCAACCACTCAGGTTTGGGGATTCGTATCTCTCAGCTGATTAGGGTAATTCGATCTCACGCTGTTGATTGGGTGATAGTTCAACCTTGGTAAAACAGGAAAAACCTTCCAAATAGATATGATTTTCATTCTCTGTTACACAGATCACTCATTGTATCGACCAGTCAAAATATCACTGCGGGATTAGTC